ATTTTATAGGTCTTTGAGTAGCTTTTATTCTACAGTTGACCCAACCTATTTTAATGTTTCGCCGTTCTGATAAGGTTCTGGCCAATCCTGCTTCCATTTTAATTGACGCCGTAAGTGTCCCTCCGTATGCTTTGCGGAGGGACTTGATGCAGTCTTCAGAGATATGGTGTCCTTCACCAGCTATGTTCTGTAGTGCTTCTAGGATTTCAGGCACCGTTGTGGTTTCATCAAGGTCCTTGATCTCTAGATCCTGTTCGGGTACCTTACAGACCACCGTAGCGTCCTCTCCAAGGACTGAAGAAATAGTATTTCTCATCTCCTGCGAGTCACCTGTTTGGTTTCTCGCTAGGATAAGAAGCATATCCCCCGTATTGGTTCTTCTAATTTTATCCACACATTGGCTTATACGATCTGCGGAAGCATCTTTCTTAACCCTCTTGAGGATCTCAGCATACTGTTCCTTCTGGGTTGGACGAATGATTAGAGCAGTAGGACGTGTTGCTGCTTTCTTTTTCGGTTGCTTTTTCTTTTTAACTTCTTTCCACTCAGTGCGGCCTTGCGGAAGTGTCGTCTTTGGCTTCGGTTCAGGCTCTGGCATAACGGCAGAGTCCGTTACATTAGTCTTCAACTTTTTCGGCTCCTGGCTTATCTCCGGAGGTGAAAAGCGTTCTTTTCTTTTAACTTTCCGAATTCTTCGGATCTTCGGTGTTGCCGATTTGCCATCTTCTTCGATTTCTGAGTCCTTTATCGTCGTCTCCGAATAACATCTGCACAGTGACGGTGAGGTTTGTACTACGCCTACCGATGTGGTGCCGTTTGATTTTCCGACGTTATCGACTTCTCCGATGATCTTTTTGAACGAGCTGCTCAGCGTCGGTACATACTTGCGGATCTCTCCATGTACGTTCATCTTGCCCTTTATGAACTCCGCCAGGGCAGTGATCGTGTTTTCGTGGCGCTCCAGCGCCTTATTTAACTCCTTCATGCTTTCATTTGTTTTATTTTCTTTATTTATACTATCCATACTGTTCCCACGAGAACCTAGGGAAATACACAGTCCGCTCCGGCAGAGCCCCGGTTGCCGTAGTAAGGCCACTAATTACGCCTGAGGTGGGACCTGGTCCCTCAGGGGAGCGCTAGCGACGACAATACCCTGTCGCCTTCCAATCCTGGGCACGCTAGACTACTGACATCGGGTTGTGTTTGGTCCGCGGGAGCTACTTTATTTCACTCCTACCCTATTCGCAATGCGATTCTCGGGCATTCCCCTATCCGCCACCTGGGGGACGCACCACGTAGCAGTACACCTCTGCCCGTGGTGAGAGAGTGTGTGTGTGTGTGCGTGTGTGTGTGTGTGTGTGTGTGTGAGAGAGAGAGAGAGAGAGAGAGAGAGAGAGTTAGCCAACATAACCCCGCATGCTGCCGATATGGCGGAGCGCTACTATCGCCATCTGTTGTAAAACGTGCGAGATGGACAAAATTACCACTACATGCATCTTGCATGTGTTGTGTACGTGTGATATATGTGTGCGCATGTGTTGTATACGTGTGAATACGTGTAGCACGATACTACTATGTATGCGTGGTCGATGATGATAATAATAATGATGACGGGGACGTTTCTTAATAGAAATTTTTCATATTTCGACTTTGCATTTATATATCTCTGCTTACAAATCACGTAGAGCAGAAATAAAGACACTTTTATTATATAATTCGAACTCAATCTATCGATTAAGTCTAGTATAAACTCGATTGCTTCAGCCATTATTGAGGATTCGAAATATTATAAAGACTCAAATGTCCGACTCGCGTTAAGATACACGGTGTCTCCGCTACGCCCTTAACTGGTCGCGAGACACTACCGTGTCTCTTGATATAATGTTAGATTATGTAAAATATCTCGTAAACCGTTCAATTATTGACTTTCACTCTGTATGCAGAATATGTTACAAGGAATCAATTTACATAAATACTTATTATTAGACTAATCAATATCAAATTATCAAGTTGACTAATGATATTGAAAATTGCTTTCTACAAACATTTCTGTAACATCAAAGTATTTATATTTCTGTTGAAATACTGAAACATTTATTTGCAGCATTATTTTCTAAAAATTATACTTTTAGAAATAAAAAATTGTAACGTTTTATTTAGAACACTCAGTAAATATATTTATACACACACATGTGAATGCTCAGTAAATATATTCATACACACACATGTAAATGATAAGTAATTATATTCATACATACACATGTGAATGATATATATATGTCGTAGCCCGATAGCGAAATTAGCCAATTAGCTAAAAACCTAGGCGTTTAGCTAAATGCCGCCTGTTAGGCTAATCGAGGACGATATAGTCTAATGGCCTGGAAAATTCAGCCTGTTAGACGAGAAGTCGGCTTTTCGCCTAACGGCCTGGCGCGCTGTAGGCGATTAGAGAAATGCTTGTTTTGGAGCTCGATATGTTGTCAATTTATTTACTACACAATTATTACTACATTACTATTTGTTCATGCAAGATGCGCTACTGTGGCAACGAGAATTGCAAAGAATTTTTGCTTTAAAACATGCACATCTATTTGTCTGACACTGATTTTTAGCAATTTTGCAATTGCATTTTTATATCCCTGTCCACCACTTGCCGACTGCTTCGCAGCAGCTTCCCTCAAAGTAAGAAGAACATTTTTGGGAACGTCAGCCATGGTAATAAGATTAGTGCCCGATTTTGCAATTTCAATACGGGGGAACCATCCTTTCAATATCCCATTCTTAGTTCCAATTTGATATACGTCATTTTTGGTATCAGTTACAACGCCAAATATGTTATTAAAATCGAGAGGCCCACGGTCAACAGTGGGAACAGATAATGTAATAGTGTCATTGATCTGAAGGGGTGGAAAAATGATACTCGAACAGGTAACCATTTTTTCGGCCTCTGTCGTTTGACGCTCGAAACAATTTGACCGAGTGTCAAGTAGCTGTTCGCCCCTAGCGCACAATGAACAGGTAGCAATCTGTCCGCGGTCGCTATGCATTTCCATTTTGCACTTTGTGCAAAGTATACTGCTCGAGTCGTCTACCTGTCGCTTTTTCTGTGGTCCCTCTCTTTCCTCTTCTTCATCCTCTCGCATTCTTTTTCTTTTGCCTACGTCTTCGCACTGCTCAACACTAAAGTTCAAATCACTATATGAGTTCTATTATATTATATTTATCTAGTTCTATTATATTTATTTTAAGTCAATTACCTCGCGTTCAATTGTACATTCTGCTCCTCCAGAGCTTGCTCCAAGTCTTCCTCTGTTTGAAGCAAATTTAAAATTTCATCAGGCAAAGATGTATTTCTTATGCCGCTTTTTATCGGTCCAAGTAGAGCTTCGTACGGGCTCCTGTTTATGACTCTATGTCGCGATGTATTCTTTTGCCACTGAAATCAATATTTAAAGTATGTAAATTTTCAAGTATGTATTCAAGAACACAATATTAATTTAATTATATATATGAGAGCCATTACTTGTACTTTGTAGCAACCATGACCCCAATTTATCGAATCATTATCGATCATCCAGGCTCTTAACATGTTTTCAACGTCCGCATTTGACCTTTCAATACTACCTTGACTCTGTGGGTGTCGCGGACGCCCATGAACAATCCTGCAGTGAGGCCAGATGGAAACAAGTTCGTGTATTACTGCAGCCACGAATTCTCGACCATTATCGTTCTGCAAAATAGTCGGGGCTCCCCATGTAAAGAAGATTTTCGACAATTCTTCAGCAACGTTAGCTGCGTGCTTGGATCTCAAGGGTCAAAGGTGCAAAAACTTGGTAGCGTGATCTTGGTAGTTTAGTAGCCAATTGAACTCACCATCGCGACAAGATTGGAAATCAATTAAATCCACCTGTCCGCGAACATTAAATCCATCGCTCAGTATTGGTTTTATCACAACTCCTCGTTTTGGAGCAACCCTCTTTCTGTTACATGTCCCGCAGCAAGACACAAATATTTCACAAGCCACCTTCGTTATCCTGTACTTTTCTTTAATGTAACACTGCATCTTATCCCTTCCGCCATGGCCTGTTTGAATGTGAGCTTCTAACAATTTATCGTAGTAATCCTCCATCGCTATTACGTAAATAACTGGCTCATTCGAAGTTTTCCGTTTTAAAATTACATACGATTCCGTTCCAATTTTTGCTAGCTCATACTTCTTCGCGTAATGGTAATGAGATACTGTCTTTTTAGTACTTGGAACCTGAATTTCCTGCAGAACTTTCATAACGTTGATCATCTGATCTCGCCTCCACACTGTTCGATTACTGCCTGGTCGATTTGAATAGAATTGATCTAATTTTTCGTTAGACTCATCGCGGTTTACTGGCATATAACTTGCCATGGCTGTTATTGATTGCCAACTAACGAAAAAAATTGAATATACAACGAGCTCTGTGATGATTTACTTAAGACCCACTGGGATATTTACAAACAATAAATTGACAACATATCGAGCTCCAAAACAAGCATTTCTCTAATCGCCTACAGCGCGCCAGGCCGTTTGGCGAAAGCCGACTTCTCGTCTAACAGGCTGAATTTTCCAGGCCATTAGACTATATCGTCCTCGATTAGCCTAACAGGCGGCATTTAGCTAAACGCCTAGGTTTTTAGCTAATTGGCTAATTTCGCTATCGGGCTACGACATATATATATACAGGGTTGGGAAAGTTACTTTATAAAAATAATTAGTTACAGTTACAGTTTTTTCATTAAAAAGTAACTAGTTACAGTTAAAAGTTACCAATCCTGAAAAGTAACGCGTTACAGTTACAGTTACTTAAAAAGTAACGAGTCGTTACTTTGTAGTTACTTTCTTGCGATGAAAATAAAATATCAGATCTATACTTAATAAAAGAAATTTAAAGGTAAAAGAATGAAATCATATACATATAAATATATTCTCTAAATACATTTTTATTATATATAGTTATTTATTATAATTATACATTATTACTTATTATAAGAATTAAAATTATAAAAGTCTTTAACGTTTCGAGAGCATTATAGAGTTTCTATTTATATTGTATATACACATAGTATATAATGAAGCTATAATGATCTCTTTCTTCTCACAAATTAATTTTTTCATCATTCCGAGAATATTTACTTCTTATGTGAAAATCTTATATTTTGCCGATATCGAAATGCCGCAAGTCGATTTATAAAGCATCAAAACGAGATCACAAGAAAACTGAAATCGTTATCGTGGTCCCAGATTTTTAGGCTGACCTAGGACGACAGATATGAGAGATATATCTAGCTACAGACGTTACCCAATTCGCATCGGAATATGCCAGATATATTCCTGCAATATTCCAAATAAAATGTTTAGATGTTCCACGAATGTTCCAACAAATATTCTTGGAATCTCTAATTGGCACAACGCAAAACATTCCTGGAATGTTTTTTATGGAATGTGTTGGGAATATTTATATGGAATGTGTTGGGAATATTTATTGTATCGTTCTAGGGATAAAAATAATTTCATAAAAATATTATTTTTAGAAATTGTTAATTTTATTCTGTTGTATCTCAACACGTAAAAATATGAAATATTTATATCTTAAGTAAACGTAAAATATGAACGTTTTGTCTTAATATATTATAGTAACATATACGTATGTATATAAATTATAATAAACAAACTGAAATATTTAATAAACTTAAATAAACTTAAAATAGTGAAAAAATTAAAATGTGAAATATTTAATAAACTTAGATAAACTTAAAAAACTTGAAAATTTTTTACTGAAATTAAGATAAAATTATTTGTTTCCTTTAGCTTGTGCTCGTTGTCTTCGTGTTTCAGCCTTAATTAACCAATAGCCAAATTTAATTTCAATATCTTTTTCTGTTGAATTCCATTCATCAGCACTAGTTGCTGCGTCTAGAATAGAATTAATATATTTATCATTGTAACAAAAATAATTAGTAGATTAATAATTTTGATTCAATCTTATTTACCAAGGAGTGCTCGATAAATATTAGTAAGAGTCTTCTTAAATGATTTTTTGGAATTTGGCTTCGTATTTTCCAATCTTCCAACCCACACCAACTGTGTTGCACATTCGTTTGTGACTATAGTGGCCATCATTCTGGAACACATTTCAGACAAACTTGTGCCTCCTTGTCCTTTCAGAATGTTTACCTATTATAAACAAAAAATTATAAATTATGTGTTATGAGAATACACATAATTATGTACAAATCTAATTATATATACATACAAATATATATAAATACAAAAAATACACCAATTTCTTTAAAACTTTTAATAAATAATGAAGTACTTCAGATTAAAAATTGCGATCAACTTAACTAGAGCTTTAAAATGTTTCTCTTCTTGTAGCATTTTGTTTACGTTTAACAGAGTTTCGACTGACGTTGCTGGTATGTTTAATGTTTTGAGAATAGAATCTCTACTAGAAGGAACTATTTTATCATTGCCTGATTTTAATGTATTTAAAGCGGATTTTATTTCTCTTTGATTATTTTCAATCCGTATCATCCATCTTACGAGATAAGTTTTAAACTGATCTGAAATAAAGAAATAATTATCTTAAAAATATTAAAATTTAGAAGAAACATTATAGAAAAGCGTTTAAAATATTAATAATATGTACTTGAGATTTTTTTGTACTATATATCTAGAAACATTGTACTTCTTAAAAATAATGCAGAATGTAGTAAAACTATTACAATATACTTACAATCAGTAAGATGCTCGATTTTTCTTTTCTTCTGTCGAATATAAGTTGATGTAGACGCTCTAGGTTCTTCTTCTTCATTATTAGTATTATTTATATTATTATTTGTATGATTAAAATCGCCTAATTCATCGTCCATTACAGAATCTTGCAATTCCTATTACAACAAGAATATATACAGATAGAGTTCTTTATGTACAGAAAATAAAACCTTAAAGACAATTTCTTACATCTGATATAATTGACGTAGCATTTCTGTCATTCTCACATTGTTGAGAAGTTATTGCTATTTTGTCTAGAGGTTCCTGAGAACATAACGGTGTACAATTTTCAAGTTCTGTTTCAGTAGATGTCAATTCTGACTCTACTATAAATTTGTTTAATTTTGATATACACTTTTCCATCGTACCTATTACAATGAAAAATAAAAGTAATATTGAAAGAAATAATGTAGCGTGCTATATTTATGCTGTAAAATAAAAATTTTTTGAAACCAGTGTGTTATACCTTTTTTATATAAAACATTAACTAAATAACTTTTCCATGACGATGTATCAGGTTCCTCTAGTTCGTTTATTGCAGCCTTCAATTGTGCTTTTTTATATTTATTGGGAAACCAACAAAACATTTGATTTTCATTTTCATATAACCAACTTTTTGGTACAATATCCATAGGTACAGTTGTTCCTTTCTTTTCTAGAGGAAACTCTACTATTGACCACATTTTACTGTGATATAAATTAAATATTTAATTAAAACAAAAAAATTGAAGTTATAAATGAATACCTTTATTATAATAAGATATATAAAAATCAACATATTTAATTAAGTACAATTCGCCGGACAATTCACAGTATTAAAATAATAATAGTTCTACATAGATTTAGAAACTTAAAAAAAAGAAATTAAAGTTAAATGATTTGATATACATCTAAAGAAAATAAAAAATTGTTAGAAATTGTGCATAGGAAAAACTGCAAAAGCATTTCTGTCTTTGTATTGAACAAGAATTGCCTTGTATAAAATATCAGTGAGGTGCCATTTGTCTGGTCGCTCACACAAGTTTTTAACTATATAAATATAAAAATTTGATGATTTAGTTGGAGTTGAATACAAATCTTTAGACTCTTGAAAACGTTTTCCTATTAAAAATATACTAGATGATGTCTGAACAATATTAATGATTTTGATAACATCGCTTTTAGACGTAATAACCATGTTATCTCCTTCTTTTAACGACAATACAGTACCATGCCATCGAATCATTTTATATTGTATACCAATTAAAGAAAGACAAGGACCAGAATGAACAGATCTAAGAATGGGACCATCTTTTGTAATAAATTGATTACAATTATTTGAATCTGTCTCAATTTTTTCTAAAGTGCGGTTTACTAATTGCTGCAATGGTTTGTTTTTTCCACGAATTGCTCGTTTAAGAGAAGCTAATTTATTTTCAAAAGGAAAAGCAGAAAATTTATGCAGTGGACCATGACGTCTAACATCATCAACAAGATGCAACAAATTATGTACATTGTATACGAGAAATGATTTGCCATAAAGATCTTTTGAAATACTATTTATGACGAACTGTCGTAGCATATATTCTGCTTGATCAAGGTCTTCTTCTGAATTATTATCTCGTGATAATATAAATATACTTGCATGTAAAAGAAGAAAGTGTTTATACATTTTCTTAGGAAGCCATGGAGTGAGTAGAGTCGGACCTAAATACAGAAGGAATTGTCTGTATTCTGTGGCTTTCCACATATTAAGTTCATGTAGACCTCTTGGCTTTCGATTAAATTCTATTGGCCATGAAGATGCTGCTTTTTCAAGTTGTTTATTAAGGATACAAATATTTTGAGCAGACATACGAGCTGTTAATTTATCGCCAGTCCATATGTGCAAAAGCTTGCGCATCACTCCAAGAAATACCAAATGCATTGGATCTAACGGAAACATTGTAATCATATTAATACCAATATCTATTAACGGACTTATTTCTTTATGATGTTTTTTCTGTTTTCTTTCAGCAAAACTTTCATCAGTTCTTAAATTAGATGAATGATCCGGAAATATAACACGTCTCTTTTTCCATTGGCCTTTTTGAACACACTTTTCACATCCATAATAGCCGCCATAACCTTTAATACCTTTCATAAAAGCTCTAGCTGGTGCATCACAAATAAAACTTCTAACAAATACTCTATACTTTGTATCATTAATAATAATACCATTTTCCATAAGATCTTTTAACTCTGGAACAAAATCTTTCAAAAACAATTTTAAATCTGGTTTTTCTTTCCCGCAATATACAGCACATACAATCGGTGTAAAATTAAATTTTTCAATAAGACATAATATTGGCCACAACTGTATACGACTACTTTTAAATAAGGGAAGTCCATCAACATTGAATTTTAGTCAAATTATTGATGATGATGCAAATCTCATTTTTAATTGTTTTTCTAGCATATCCTTTAAGTTAAAATTATAATATTGACCATCCCCCATAGTTTCAATAGATATATTATTTGATTTTCCAAAAATACTTCTCGGATCTGTAGGTAAATTTGGATGGACTTTATTAAGAATTTTTAAAAGTTGTTGAAAACTAATTCTGCTAATATTGTTTTCCACTGCCCACATTTTGAGATTATTTTGCAAGTAAACATTAATATTTTCATTGCATTTGTAATCAGTTACTCTTTCTTCGATAAGCTTATCACTAGTCTGAAAATTTTCATCACGAGATAAAAAATTTGTGAGACTAAACTTATCAATTAATTCATTGCTACTATAATTAACAGAACTATTAAAAATTTCATTACATATTTGTTCATTCTGCTCATTATCACTCCTTGATACAGAAAAGCTATCTATGTTAACTGATATGTCATTTTGTGTAATTCGTTTCTTAACATTATTGTTATTGCATGCTTGAGAATGTTTATATAAGATGTTAAAATTTATATTTTTTTGATCTTCATTTGTAGAAAAAATATCAATTTTTTGCTTTTTAGATACTTGATTTTCTGTTTTAATGTGGCATACTGTTTTGTCTGCTGCATCACGTAAAATGCGATAAAATTGTCTCTTGCTCTTTGCAGCAGATAATTGGTCCATTGTACTTTGTACATTGTTGTCAGGCAAAAAGGTATCAAACCTTGTATAAAATAAAATGTTTTAAATATAAAAGTGAATTCTGTTTTAACAGCTAAACACACACACGGGACACATACATATATATACACATACATCTCATATAATATATAATTATTTTTTACCTGAGGTTTGTGTTTGGAATATTTTTATTTTGATCCATATTTTTCTTTTTAGTTGATTTTCTTTAAAGCAAAATTTTATTCTCTGAAAATAAAAAAATTAGATATATATAAATTATTCCTAAAATATAATTATATATATATATATATATATATACTTATATAGATAAGTATTGTAGATAAATAGCTGAGCTAACTTTTTATATAATCTTACTTTTGTATATAGGTTGTGCAT